TGACACACTCACAGCCACTGAAACCTCAACCTGCTGGGCTCAGGCAATCCTTCCACCTCAATCTTCCAAGTAGCTAAAACTACAGGCATGCACCACCACATCTGGTTAATTTTTTTTATTTATTGTAGAGATGAGGTCTTGCCAAGTTGTCCAGGTTGGTCTTGAACACCTGGGCTCAGGCAATCCTCTCACCTCAGCCTCCCAAAGTGCTGGGGTTACAGGCATGAGCCAAGCTATTTTGTCCATTTTAAAATCAGACTGTTTCTTTGCTATTGAGTTGTTTGAGCCCTGTACATATTCTGGTTAATAATCCCTTGTCAGATGAATAGTTTGTAAATGTCCTCTCCCATTCTGTAGGTTGTTTCTTCACTTTGTTGATTGTTTCCTTTGCTGTGCTGAAGAGTTTCAGCTTGATGTAATCATATTGTCTATTTTTGCTTTGGTTCCTTGTACTTTTGAGGTCTTGCAGAAAAAATACTTGCCCAGACCAAAGTCCTGGAGCATTTTCTCAATAATTTTTCCTAGTAATTTCATGTTTCAGGTCTTAGATTTAAGTCTTTAATCTATTTTTATTTTATTTGTGTATATTGAGAGACAGGGGTCTAGTTTCATTCTTTTGCATATGGTTATCAGGTTTTCTCAGCACCATTTATTGAAGAGATTGTCCTTTCCCCATTGTATGCTCTTGGTGCCTGTGTCAAAAATGAGTTGGCTGTAAGTGTGTAGACTTATATCTGGGTTCTCTATTATGTTCCATCGGTCTGTGTATCTGTTTTTATGGCAGTATTATGCTGATTTGGTTACAATAACGCTGCAGTATATTTTGAAGTCAGGTAGTGTGGTGTCTCTGGTTTTGTTTTTGTTTTTCCACCCTCAATATTGCTTTGGCTATTTCAGATCTTTTGTGGTTCCATATAAATTTTAGGATTCGCTTTGCTATTTCTGTTAAGAACGTTAGTGGCATTTTGATAGGGATTGCATTAAATCTGTAAACTGCTTTGGGTAGTGTTGTCATTTTAACAATATTACTTCTTCCTATCCATGAGCATGGAGTATCTTTCTGGTTTTTGGTATCTTCTTGCATTTCTTTCATCACTGTTTTATAACTCTCCTTGAATAGATCTTTCACTTCTTTGATTAAATCTATTTATAGGTATTCTTTATTCTTTATAGCTGTTGTAAATGGGATTGCTTTCTTGATTTATTTTTCAGATTGTTCCTTGTAGGCATATATAAATGCTAATGATTTTTGTATGTTGAATTTTGTATCCTGCAACTTTACTGAATTCATTTGTCAGTCTGAAGAGTTTTTTTGTTAGAGCCTTTAAGTTTTTCTAGGTATAAGATCATATTGTTTATAAACAAAGCTAATTTGACTTCTTCCTTTCCAGTTTGGATACCTTTCCTTTCTTTCTTCTGTTGAATTGTTTGGGCCAGGACTTCCAGTATTATGTTGAATAAAAGTGGTAAAAGTGGGCACTCCTTGCCTCATTCCAGATCTTAGAGGAAATCTTTCAATATGATGTTAGCTGTGGATTTGTGATATAAGACCTTTATTATTTTGAGCTTTGTTCCTTCTATATCCAGTTTGTTGAGGATTTTTAATCATAAAGAGATGCTGAGTTTTACTAAATGCTTTTCCAACATCTTCTTGAAATCATTGTTCTTGGTTCTGTTACTGCAATGTAGCACATTTATTGATTTGTGTATGTTGAACCATCCTTGCATCCCTTAACCAAGGCAATTTTTAAAAAGAAAAAGAACGAAGATTTTGTTTTACCTGATATCAAAACTTCTAAAGCTATAGTACTTGAAATAATATGAGACTGGTGCAAAGACAGAAAAAAGAAAAGACCAATAGGTCACAATAAAAGCCAATAAAAATAAGATAACTCAGTATATGGTTGAGGAACCATTATAATTCACTGGGGAAAGGTGAACTACCCATTACATAGTGCCAGAACAACTACTTAGCCTCATGATAAAAAATAAAAATAACTCCCTGGTAACCTCCTGCAAACTAGCCAACCTACAGTGTATGCTGAAGATAAATCCATGAATCTCCTCCCAGTTTCCTTTTACCATAGCCTCCACTGTTCTTGATAGTGTCCTTAGTGCCCATTTTTTCCACTGAGTCTTTTGTTTATTTTTTAGTAGATACTCTGGGAGGTGAGAGAATTGCCTGAGCCCAAGAGTTTGAGACCAGCCTAGGCAACATGGTGAGACCTCATATCTACAATAAACAAAAAATAGTCAGATGTGGTGGTGCATATCTGTGGTTCCAACTACTGGAAGGCTGAGGCAGAGGGATCTCCTGAGTCCAGGAGGTTGAGGCTGTGGTGGTCATAAGTGTACCACTGCACTCCTGCCTGGGTGACAGAGTGACACCCTGACTAAAAACAAAACAAAACAAAAAAACCCACCAAAACCCAGAAACAATTAAACAATAAATTATCAATTTTCTCTAAATAAACATTTTAAACTTCCATATAGAAAAGTATTATCAACCGGGCTCGGTGGCTCAGCCTGTAATCCCACGCCTTTGGGAGGCTGAGGTGAGTGGATTGCCTGAGCCCACGGGTTCGAGACCCACCTGGGCAACTTGATGAGAACTCATCTCTACAATAAATCAAAAATTAGCTGGGCGTAGTAGCACATGCCCAGCTAAGGAAGGCTAAGGCGGAAGGATCGCAGGAGCCCAGCAGGTCAAGGCTGCGGTGGCCGGGAACAGGCACTGCACTCCAGTCTGGGTGACAGAGTGAGACTCCAACTCAAAAAAAAAAAAAGAAAAGAAAAGTATTATCAATAAGGTTGAAGGAAAAATACAAACTTGGAAAAAATATTCGCAAAACAAAAGGTTAATCCCTGAAACAAAGAATTCTGGCTGGGCACAGTGACTCATGTTTATAATCCCAACACTTTGGGAAGCTGATATGGGAGGATCGCTTGAGGCCAAGAGTTCAAGACCAGCTTGAGGAACACAACAAGACCTCGTCTCTACAAAAAAGTCAAAAAATTAGCTAGGTGTGGTAGCACACACCTGTAGTTTCAGCTACTTGAAGAACTGAGGCAGAAGGATCGCTGAGTCCAGGAGTTTGAGGTTATGGTAAGCCATGATCATACCACTACTCTCCAGCCTGTGCAACACTGTAAAGACTTCCACTCGAAAAGAAAAGAAAAGAAAAAGGAGTTCCATTGTTTTTAACATTTTTCTATTGTTTTTAACATTTGTGCCCAGGCTGGGGCACAAATTGCTATACATACTAATCCAATCAACCCTATCTCCTTTAAAGGAATAGTTTCTGAGTCCCTGTTTGATATTTGTTCTGATCCTAGGAGAGCTCCTCCCAGCTAGCTTGCTTCCTTTGGGAATAGATTAGGAACTTTCTGTTTTCATGGTCTGTTTCTCCCAGGCAAAACTTCTGAGTTAAGGACTCTGCAGTCGGGAGTGGCACAAGAACAAGCTTTTTGGGTGGCATCTCCATTCTAGGAGCTGAATGTTCAGTAGGTTAGGGGACAGCAGTCCTAGACCCTCTTAGCTTTTATTTCTTGGCCTGGAACTACCACCTCCAGAGCCAGGGCAAAGGCAATTAGGGTTCCAGTATTCTCTGTTCCACACCCAAGATAAAGCCTCCATTCTACAGGTGAGGGGATAGGCTGAAGAAGGTAGCCCCACCTCTTATACTCTCAAATGCACTCACTTGGATTTTAACTTCAGCAACAGGTAGCTCAGGGGAGGATGAGAAATGCTACATTATGTTCCTTCTGGGAATAAAGCCCTGCAACTGGGGGCTATGGGGAGAAAGAGCCCTGTGTTCTTGGCTGCAACAGTTTGGAGCGGATTCTCCACCTCATTAAGCTGGAAGTGAGGAGGGAGGGAGCAGTCTTACGTCAAATAACACAGACTCTCACTTTCATACCAAATTTCATAGATTTCTCTGAGCAGATGTTTCCCTATTTACTGTTTGCCTTAGGACTATTTCCAGGGGTTTTGGTTTTTAAAAATAATTTTCACCAGTTTCATTGGAGGGTAGGTCAGCAAAACTCCTCACATTGTCGTGCCAAATGTTGTTGATCTCTCCTATATCATTTAAATATTTTACAATGAGGAAGTATATTTTCTACAAAAGCAATAAGGGCACTGAAGTTAAAAATAGAGAAAGAGAGAAACTGTAGCCTGGTAGGAGGCAAGAAAGTAAGAACTTTCAAAATAGTAAGAGAAACTCATGCTGGCTGGCTGCCTCCCTAACAGTCTCTGTAGTTCTACTCTTGTCTATGCTCAAAGAGATGAATTATACTCTTTTCAATAATGTCAGCCCATGAACAGGCACTTAACGAGAAACCTGACAGACCTGAAGTAACTCCAATTTTGGGAAGCATAGTGGACTCTCCCTTGAATCCAGGCATCTAATAGGACACAGAGAGAAACTTCATTGACAATGGAACCATGGTGGAATCTATTGCCTAGAATTGATGAAAATGACATCAGAGCCTAGTTCTCAGGCCAAGCAAGTCAGCTTATAAGCATATTGTTTTCCCTCTTTCTGAGACTCCTGGCACTTTGTGGCTAATCTGTCTTTTTCTCTACCTGTTTTTATAACTTTATCTTTCTGTGGTTTTGCTATGTCACTAGAAATGGATTTCTCCTTAATCACTGTGCTTGGGAGTCAGTGGATTTTCTGAATCAGAATTCATGTCTTTCATCAATTTTGGGAAAGTATCAGCCGGATCTCTTTAAATATAGCCTTTCCCATATTCTCTTTATCCTCTGAAATTCATGTGAGATCTTTACATTCTAATCTTCACATCTCTTAACTTATTTTTCATTTTTTATTTCTGCCTCTCCATACTGCATTTCAGGTAATTTCTTAAATTCTATATTCCAGTTTACTCAATTACTCTTCAGTTGTGTCTGGTCAGTTGTTTACTTTGTCTATGTAATCTCCAACTGCAATTATTAAATATTCCACTTTAAGAAATTCTACTTGCTTATCAAAGTATTTTTCTTTTTTTTTTTTTTACCATAATCAAAACTTTATTGAAAAACTGACACCAAAATAGGTGATTACTGTTGTATACCCTACAAAATCAAATGTAATTGCATTGTCTTGGTAGATTAACTAGAATTACTGAATTTATGATAAAGCTTTCTATGATAACACAAATTCAGGAAATCGGGTGGATCATTAGTGTTGCTTTCTTCTAAATGAACACCCTTCTGTGAGGCTGGCCTTTCCTCCTGTAGGCTGGCACAACATTGTCGAACAACCCACACAAAGAACCATTATCTGCGCATGGCTGAAAACCGTGGTGATCTTGTAGCAACCTGGACATTTCACATCCATAAAGTAGGAATTTGGACTTTGAACGAGGCATTTTTTTTTATGTTTTTTCTTCTCCTCTTCCAAGGATGGATGTAATAAATCTCTGGCCAGAGGCATGTCGATCGCATTGCCAGCTCAGCCAGACCAGAGCTCAAAGGCGACCCCCCTAAGTGTTTTTCAATAGGTGGACGGATAAAGAAAATGTGGTATGCATACACAATGGAATACTACTCAGCCATAAAAAATAAGGAAGTCCTGTCATTATGACAACATGGATGAGCTTGTTGGACATTATATTAAGTGAAATAAGCAAGGTACAGAAAGACACGACCTAACTCAAATGTGAAATCTAAAAAAGTTGATCTCATAAAAGTAGAAAGTAGAATGGTAGTTGCCAAGGGCTGGGGTGGTTGGGAGGAAGGGAAAATATTAGCAAGAGGTTGGTCAAGGCCGGGCATAGTGGCTCACGTCTATAATTCCAGCTCTTTGGGAGGCAGAGATGAAAGGATTGCCTGAGCCCACAGGTTCGAGATCAGCCTGGGCAACTGAGTGAGACCTCATCTCTATAATAAATCAAAAAATAAGCTGGGCATGGTGATGCCTGCCTGGTAGTTCTCGCTACTTGGAAGACTGAGGCAGAAGGATCACCTGAGCCCAGCAGGTTGAGGCCGCGGTGGCTGTGAGCATGCCACTGCACTCCAGCCTGGGTGACAGAGTGAGACTCCAAAAAAAAAATCAATAAACCAGTCAGGCACAGTGGCTCACGTCTATAATCCCAGCAATTTGGGAGATCAGGTGAAAGGATTGCCTGAGCTTCACAGGTTTGAGACCAGACTGGGAAAATAAATAAAATTTTTTTAAAAATTAGCTGGGAGTGGTGGCGCATGTCTGTAGTTCCAGCTGCTTGGAAGGCTGAGACGGAAGGATCATCTGACCCCAGCAGGTCAAGGCTGTGGTGGCCATGAGTGTTCCATTGCAGTGCAGCCTGGGTGACAGAGTGAGATTCCAACTCAAAAAAAAAAAAAAAAAATGCTAGTCAAGGAATACAAAATTTCAGTTAGCTAGGAAGAATAAGTTCGAGAGAGCTATCATACAACATGGTGACTATAGTTAATAACAATATACTATATTCTTGAAAAATGCTAAGAGAATGAATATTAAGTGCTCGCGCCACAAAAATGGTAACTATGGGCCAGGCTCGGTGGCTCAGCCTATAATTCCAGCACTTTGGGGGACCAAGGCAAGTGGATTGCCTGAGCCCATGGGTTCAAGACCAGCCCAGGCAACTTGGTGAGACCTCATCTCTACAATAAAACTTTTTTAAAAATAGCTGGGCATGATAGTATGCACCTGTAGTTCTGGATACTCAGAAGGCTGAGGCAGAAGGATCACTGGAGCCCAGCAGGTCGAAGCTGGGGTGGCCGTGTGCGTGAGTGCCACTACACTCCAACCTGGACAAAGGAGTGAGACTCCAACAAAAAAAAAAAAAAAAGGTAATTATGGCCAGGTGCAATGGTTCACACCTATAATCCCAGCACTTTGGGAGGCCAAGGTGGGTGGATTGCATGAACCCAGAGTTAGAAACCAGCCTGGGTAACATAGTAAAACCTCATCTCTACAAAAAATTACAAAATTAGCCAAGCATGGTGGTATGTGCCTGTAGTCCCACCTACTCAGGATGCTGAGGTGGAAGGATCACCTGAACCCAGGAGGTCAAGGCTGCCTTAAGCTGTAGATCTCATCATGATCATGCCACTACACTCCAGCCTGGGCAACACAGTGAGACCCCAATTCAAAAAAAAAAAAAAAAAGAGATAACTGTGAGATAATGCATAAGTTAATTAGAATTAGTCATTCCATAATGTATAGAATGGGGGGCAGCTATAGGTGCCCAAAAGCTATAGGTGCTTCAAAACATCATGTACACAACAAACACATACAATTTTATCTGCCAATTTAACACAATATTAATTCTTTAAAATTTTTTTAAAAGTTCTATTTGCATCTTTCTAAAATCTGCCTTGTCATTGTCACTTTTGATAGTCTACTGTCCTTTGCCCATACTTTTGATAAAATCTTATTTCTTTAAACATGCTAAAATAGTTATCTTATATTCTGAGCCCTTAGAATTTTACTGTCTACTTCACAGCAACTTGGATGGAGTTAGAGTCTATAATTTATGAGTGATTTCTCACAGAAACAAAGAACTGAGTACCACATGTTCTCACTCATAAGTGGACCTTGAACAATTATCATAATACTATAAGAAAGGGATTGGCAGTATTG